AGAGTCAATACAGAGTAATAAGCAAAGTAGCCCAAATGCAGATAAGTTGAGTGAATGCTTGAAAAAATGATAGAATAGAATTCTTAATAGGGGCACAGGTAGGGAAGGACAAGACCCTTCCATGTCTTGCCTTTGGCCCAGCTTCAGGATTTGTGGAATACGTCAGGGAAGAAAAGGAGAATACAAGATGGCAGAAAGGCCAGAGGCAGAGGTGTTCTGAAGGAGATTTTTAAAAGAGCGCTCTCTCCCAAAGCTTCCTCAGCCTAGCATGATGAGCTATTCTCCCTCTTGAATAGAGAAGCTCTTTGCCACCAGACCCTAAAGTTTTGGACCCTCTCCCCTTTTTTGGTACTGAAGACTTGGGCACGTCACCACTGAGCTATATCCCCAGCCCTTTCTTCATTCTACTTATTTATTTATTTTATTCTATTTTTTAGAATAGTGGTGGCAGCAACATGGTTAAAGTCATTAGCAATCTCCTGCTAATTATACATGGCAGCAGAATGCATTTTGATACATTTTACACAAATGAAGCAACTTCTCATTCCTCTGGCTGTACACCAGGCAGAGTCACATGGATCTTGCAATCGTATATGTAAATAGGGTAATAATGTCCATCTCATCTCATCATCCTTCCCACCCCCTCACCCCCTCCCCTTCCCTTACTTCCCTCCACCCAATCCAAAGTTCTTACATTCTTCCCTAGCCACCCCCATTATGGATCAGCATCTGCTTATCAGGGAAAACATTCAGACTTTTGTTTGGGGGGGTTGACTTATTTTGCTTAGCATGATATTCTCCAGCTCCATCCATTTACCTGCAAATGCCATAATTTCATTCTTCATTAAGGCTGAATAATATTCCATTGTGTATATGTACCACGTTTTCCTTATCCATTCATCTGTTGAAGGGCATCTAGGTTGATTACATTGTGTACCAATTGTGAATTGAGCTGCTATAAACATTGATATGACTGTGTCACTATACTATGCTGATTTTGAGTCCTTTGGGTATAAACCGAGGCATGGAATACTGGGTTAAAGGGTGCTTCCATTCCAAGTTTTCTGAGGAATCTCCAGACTGTTTTCCAGTGTGGTTGCACCAATTTGCAGTCCCACCAGCAATGTATGAGTGAACCTTTCCCCCCACATCCTCGTTGACACTTACTGCTCTTGTCTTCTTGATAATTGCCATTCTGACTGAAGTGAGATGAAATCTGAGAGAAGTTTTTGATTTGCATTTTTCTAATCACTAGAGATGTTGAACATTTTTTCATATATTTGTTGATCAATTGTATTTCTTCTTCTGTGAAGCCTCTGTTCAGTTCTTTAGCCCATTATTGTTTTGTTGTTGTTGTTGTTGTTAAGTTTTTTTGAGTCCTTTATATATCCTGGAGATTAGTGCTCTGAGGTGTGTGTGGTAAAGATTTTCTCCCATTCTGTAGTCTCTTTCTTCATGTTATTGATTGTGTTTTATTTTGATATAGAATCTTGCTAAGTTGCTGAGGGCCTCACTAAATTCCCAAGGCTGGCCTTGAATTTGGGATCCTCCTGCCTCAGACTCCCAAGCTGCTTTTTGTAGTAACCTCTCTTGCAGCATCATCTCCACATCATGAAATGGGTGGGTTATTGTGGATTTCAAAAAAAAAAAAAGACTGGGAACTAAAACTAGCCATAGCTTAGCACTTTCATTTAGATGCCCAGGGATAGAAGAAGAATATAATTAAAACTAATGATTTACTTAGGGTCTTAGATGCCCAGGTCACTGTCTTTAGCAGATTCTTGTCATTTACTTACTCCATGTCTTGGGAACAAAACTGCCCTCCAATTAGCACTTCTATTTGTTTTCAGGCGGTATCACCTTGCTCGTGGACTCGGTGGAAAATAGCGCAGCATGTGAGATTCTTCCACTCCCTACCCAAATGCCGTCAAAACCTGGGCATGGAACCTTGGCTCAGCCAGTTAGATTTTTATCCCAGGACTTTGCAGCTTGAGCTGGTGACATCAGGGTGTGGAGCCTCTGTGGTGCATGGATCTGCACATTGTGGAGACCAACTTTCTGCAGCATGACATTTGCAGGGTTCCTGCGGCCTGGGCTGTCAATTCCTTCTGGGTTCTATTCATTTTTAAAGCCTATTCTTCTTCCAATTTTCTGAGTCCTTGAGGTCCTTCCAGTAAATTATCCCCCTTTAAAAAAGACAGCCAGAATTGGTTTCTGTTGCTAGACCCAAGAAACCCAACTAAAATATTCTGAATATTTGAAGATCTGAAGAATCTGCTCCCCCCGATTAGGACTATGAGTGCATATGAGGACTCCACCTGTGTTTCTGTGTTTGGAGATTCAGACTGGGAAAATGTAGTGGCAGCAATATGGTTAAAGTCATTAGCAATCTCTAAATTCTTATAGAATTTAGAAATTCTATAAGAACAGTGCTTTCCATAATAATGATTATAATAATTGGATATTACAGGTACGATTTATCATTCGCTGTTTTGCAACAGGCATGTTTTAGAGGGTCTCATGCAATCTTTCAACAACCTGATGAGAGAGGAGCAACTACTCCCAATTTACAGATAAGACAACTGAGGTTCAGAGAGAACAATTAGCTTCCAAGATCAAACAACTAGTAAACAACAGTTGGCATTTTGCTGGTCCAAATCCTGTTTTCTTTTTGTTCTGCCACATCTTGACTCTTCTGAAAACAGAGAGGGAAAAAGTACACACCACAGACCTCATGGTATCTTCAAGACTCTGTGGTGTCTTTCCTAACCGCTGTACCTGTAACTTGCTGTTCTTAGCCCCTCATCTTATTTTCATGTCTTATTGGTTTGGAGCTGACCAATGAGAGTATGTCAGGATCGCTAAGTTCAAAGCACAGAGACAAACTCTGCTGGATGGAGTGTGGAGGCAAAGAAAGAAAAATATTCAGGCCCACATTGCCTAAGAAAGTCAAATGCTCATTTTTTTTTCTTTTAAGTTGATGTCAAGTTGAAAGTTAATCTAGAAGCTGTATTAAGAATTAACTTATCCCGCTTGGTGCAATGGCCCACACCTGTGATCCCAGTGACTCAGGAGGCTGAAGCAGGAGGAAGAACTCAAGTTCAGAGCTAGAGTAGGCAACTTAGCAAGACCCTGTCTCACAATGAGAAATAAAAAGGACTGGAGACATAAAGTGCCCTTGGGTTTGATCCCTAGTAAAAACAAGCAAACAACAACAACAACAAAAGAATTTTCTTTTTCCAGGAGTGGGAAGCAGAGGATGCAGAATGAGGAAGGGAACCCCTTTAACCAGGAACCTAATGGCTTTGAGTAATCCTTCATGTAATCAAGCTCTGTTAATGTAGTACAGCACATGTCATTCCATGATTATAGCATAAGTAGATGGATATAAAAGGGCACTGTTGACGTGGAGTGTGGCCTCAACTGTTTGCTCTTCACAACTAGTTTTCCGATTCCAGTTAGAAACTACTTACACCACATTATTATGTTTAGTGTATTTATTTACATGGGACTCATGAGGGTGTGAGAGTTGTCAAAATAAAAATGGAGTTGTTTATGCCAAATGCTAACTAACTAAAGCTGGGAGGTTATAAAGGAGAAGATCTTATTTATACACATATGAGGTAGCAGTGATCACAGAAGACTCTCCTAGAACCCTAGCCTGCACAAAGGCCACTTCAATCTCACACAGAAATTATTTCTGCAAGGACATCTGACTATCAAAGGCCTGTTCAACCTTACATGCACATTACCCTTGTTATTGATCCTTATAGCCAAGGATTATTATCTCAAAACAATTTATGTAACAGTCCCCATTTTACCTTTAAAAGTTCCCCCCATTTCAACTTTCTTGAATGTGCTCATAGTAAACTACATTGTGTGTATTCCCATTGCAATGTGTATTCCTAAAAATAAACAAAGATGTTTGTTCCCAATTAAACTTAGTAATCTTTGGAATAAACCTCTGTTCCCACCTTCCAGGCAAAGAAAGAACTAACATCCAAGTGATAGCCCTGCTCTATTCTTCTCTTTCTTGTCTCAATGTCTTTTCATATCAAACTCCTTCTACACAAGAATTCAGGATCTCTGGTATGTTTCCAGACATGGAAGTTGCTCAGCCTCATACCCTGGGGACCCTGAGTCTTCACCCGATTTAGTGATGACCTGGAGCACCAGGGAGTTATTTCAGCTTGATCCCAGGGCTCAGGCCTCGCCGAAGAAGTGGGATTGGAGCTGGATATCTTGATCTACAGAGAAAACCAAATCTCATGTTCAGGGTCACGTTGGGCTCCCTGTGGTGGACCTAAGTGCTGGCATCAGGACGAGGTGGAAACAGCTCAAGAGAGAAGAAAGAAGAGACAATCCCTAGACACTGAGGCTCAGAATTCCTTGAAGGAAGCCTAGTGCAGTCAGCATCAGCAAGAAGGTCACTTAAAAACAAAGCAATGTGCCATTGATGTGGCTCAATTGGACAGAGACCTTGATGGGCATACTGTCGTCCAACCCTCTATAGGCTTTGTTTGCATCTAATGCGGTCACCTAGCGGGTAGCCATTGCCTTGAACTTGGATCTGTGTAGATCTGAAGTTCTGCTCCATACATAAACCTGCCCAAGAAGCAGTGCACACACACAGGTCACTGTTGGAGGCCACTATGTTGCTTGAGGATGCTATTGGTAGGTTGAAACTTGAGTTTCTTATAGAAAACATCATTTCTCCCTTTCTTGAAATAATAGTTCATTCATTTTCTCATTCTCTCTTGCCTGGCATCTCAGAATCCCTCTGTCTCCTTCAGAGTTAGGAAGGGGGACTTCGAGAACCAGCAGGTGTGTAACGGAGGACACTTAATTCTCTCCTTGATTTTCCCCTGCTTGATGAAACCTTGCATAGATATCGCGCTTGATATCCTCTCCACAGTGGATGATATCTTAAACCCATTTTCCCCACAAAACTCACAGGCTCATGGCTTCCCCAGTGACCATTGCATCTTTCTCCTTTCTAGGTTTATCCTTCACCCAGAAGCATGGGACAGCTGATGGATACTTCCCCAGTCCATCAGCAGGACTGCTAGGCTCCTCAGATTTCCCTCTCTTGGTCCCCAGCACTGATGTGGCATAGCACAGAAACAGGAAGACAATGGAGAATGAAGTCTAGTCCTTCGCCTTTCTTGGCAGGTGATCTTCCCTCACTGCTGGTTGGCTTTACTGTCCAAAGGAGGGTTTGACAGATGTCCGGTCTCACCAAAATCTTACCTGGGGAACAGCAACTTTGCAAGAGCACTTGGTGGAGACAATTTTCATGTTTTTTCATTCTTTAACAGATAGATCCATGAAAACTTACTGTGCCATTCCGGGTGTGAATGTCGTAGTTACCAAGAAGACTGAACCACTGTCCCTAACCTCAAGAAGCTTACAGTCTAACAAAGGAAATTCAAAGTAAGAAAGCAGTTATAATCCAGTGTGATAGGATGACGGCAGTAGGAAACAGGGGGGTGGGGGTTCAAGAACATTGAAGAGAATACGCAACTGCTCTTTGATGTTTAAGAAGAGACCATTTGTGCAGCCTGGATATTACAGGCATAGAGTCCAAATGTTAAATCTAATATGATGAAGTTTGAGACCAATTTTTTTGTACATTAAATATTAGTTACATTTAAAAAGTAAAACAGTCTCAATTTTGTAGCTCATCTTGTTTCATGAACTGTTTTGCTATTTGTATATGTATAATTTTTAACCTAGATTATTTTTATATTTTGCAGTGCTGGGGATTGAACCCAAGTCCTCACACACATTAGGCGAGTACCCTGCCACTCAACCATATCTCCCCCTATAACCTAGTTTTCTTAAAAATTTTTATTTGTCCTAATCTCGTTTTAATGAGCGTTAAGATACAGGATTCTGCTTTTATTTCCTCGGTATTATCATAATAACTATAATGAACATCCTTATGTACATCTTTTTCTCCACACTTATTTTAGATTCTTGGTACAGAGATTACTGTGTCAAAATACATGCCAGTTTTTGCCCACTGGCTTTCCAAATGAGCTTTACCGTTTGCACTGCCAGCAGCAATGTCGCAATCTGCCGGTCTCAGCCAATCTCCCTACACTGGTTAAATAGCACTTAGCCTTTTGGAGTGGTTGCTGATGCTGTAAATTTAATGACTGTAGATTGCACCTCCATTCCTGTTTCTTGAATGGATTCGTTCATTCATATAAGAAATATTTATTGACCGTAAGGTATGTGCTAGATGCTTTGATAGGTTTTGGGGATAAAAAATGGTTCGTGTGAAGCTCATTGTCAGCTCAGCAGCAGCTCGCGGGAGTGTTTTTGTATTATATAATCATGCTCTTTATCCATTTACTCAGTAACACTTTCAAGTTGTTCTTACCAGTTTATATGAATTATTTATATTCTATCTCAACTCTTTGATTTATTTGCTGTAAATGTTTTTTTTCCAACACAAAATTAGTTTCTACTTTAGTTCTGTTATTTTAATACATAACTTTTTAGTTTTTATATTATAGAATCTCTGATTTTTCTACAACATCAATGTTTATCAAGATAATCTATTTTAAAATAGCCTTAATTTTCCATCAGGTTTTAGAAAATTAAAAAAGAATTTACCTATAATCTTCCAAAGTTTATTTTTAAATTTATAGTAGAGCCTGAAAATATATGTTTGGTGATGTTTATTTATCATGCATTAAAGAATATATAATTAGATTTATTTCTAGATTTATATTATTGATATTATTATTTCTGGGTTTAGATTATTTTCCATGGATGTGTAATTATATGGAAGTAGATTTTCAACATTGTTCTTTTAAAATAATCTATCCTTTAACATTCTCACCCATGTTCTTTTCCAGATAGACTTTTGAATATTTTATTGAGTTTCAAGGAAAACTCTGCAGGTAGTTCAAAATTCTACAGAATGTACAAGTGAACTTGAAATGAACCAACATTTTTATAACATTTCCACTATTTTTTATTTTTATTGTTATTTTAGATGGAACTTTTTTATTGTAATCTAAAACTGGTGATTGATAATATTCAAGGATTTCATTTTTTTATATTTATCTTGAATATTTCTAATTAATGTGTATTTGTGCTTTCTTTGGTTGTTTTTCAGATTTTGGAGGTACTTGGGATCAAATACAGGGACACTTTACTGCTGGCTACACCCCCACCCTTTTAATTTTTTTAAATTTTGAGTCAGGGTCTCACTAAGTTGCTGAGGTTGGTCTTCAACTTGTGATCCTCCTGCCTCAGCCTCCTGAGTCACAAGATTACAGGGTTGTTCCACCACACCTGGCATAATTCATGTGTTTTTAACTATTCCACATAGATGACATGATCAAGAGCAGGTGGTTCATGGCAATAAGAGCAAACAAGCAAGTGCTAAAGAAGTATGGTGAGATGAATAAAGAATGAATAGCAATTTTTAAAACCTTAGTCTCCACTATGCATGCCTTTAATTTTTATTCTCATTCTAGTGTGTCTGCTGGGATTTAAATGCTATGCATATGATAATTGTAAACATTTTGGTCCTAGCTCCATTTTAGACAGCATTTTAAATTCTATATTTTTATGTATAACACTGGATGTCAATTTAGAAAGCATATTCTTTTATATATGTATTTTTAATTGTAGTTGGACGGACACAATACCTTTATTTTTATGTATTTATTTATAAGTGGTGCTGAGGATCGAACCCAGCACCTCGCACATGCTAGGCAAGCACTGTACTGCTGAGCCACAACCACAGCCTAGAATGCATATTCTTTATCATGTTAAGTAAATATTCTTCCAAATTATGAGATGATTACTTTAGGAATAAATACTGATTTTTTTATTTTTAATTTTTTTTTAGTTCTAGATGGACACAATATCCTTATTTATTCATTTTTATGTGGTGCTGAGACTCAAATCCAGGGCCTCATACATGCAAGGCAAGTGCTCTCCACTGAGCCACAACCCCAGCCTCTAGATACTGATTTTTTAATAACTATTCCAATATCTTTTGCACCTGTTGACATTGTATGATTTCTTTTATCCAGCATTTTGATGTGGGCTTTTATAGAATAACAGTAGATCTCCATATATTCTTCAATTCTAGTATGCATGTTACTTGGTGGTAGTTAGCATAGAGATTAACATGATTAACACATGTCATTGCTAGTGAGGCTTCAATAAATGTTAGTATTTCTATTATCATTATTATTTTTATTCTTACGTACTGCTAATTTTTTATTTAAGAGGTTAGGAGCTCATCATCTAAGGAAAGCTTGAACAGTCCCCCCCTTCCCCAAGCCTAAAGATGCCCTGAGGGCAAAGATTAAGAGGAGAGAAGCTTTCATGAGCATCTGAGGAAGGCAGAGGGTCCACCCAATCCAGGTCCTGCTCCCTGGCATCTGTTCACCTAGAACCAGCACCCCCACCCCAAAAATATAGTGGCCTGATGTTCTGCTCCAGGAGACTCCAAGTAAGGTCTTTTGGTAATTACCATACAATTCAAGTCTGAGGACAGAAGCTGTCCTCTGTGGGATCGATGGACATTGCCAGATATTTTTTAAAAGAGAAGTCAAGTTTTTGGTATTTGCTAATTGCCACTTCCTCTGCTATGATCCTTGTTAAGGTCTGTAAACAAGTCTGGATGACGCCTGGCATTTTGCCAGAGGGAGTGGTTTGTGAAGTAACGCCAGCGAGCCATTAAGTGTGGAGATTCCTTATTGGTTGACTGCTGTATCGAGTTTATGTTAATTAGATAAGCTGTGTGGAATGTATAAATACCTCTGTTGTCCTACAACAAACGGCTCCCACTCCTGCTGTATTGATCTACACAAGTTGCTCGTCAGCCCCAGGTTATTTTGCTGCAGCCGGACTGTGGCAGATCCTAAGGTTAGGAAATATTTTCAGATCTGCTTAAATACAGGGCAATATTATGGCTAACCTGGGGCTTTAAGATTTGCTGTTCTATTAACAGTTCAAGTCTCAGCTTCTGTGTCTGAAAGACATCCTTCACTCACGCGTTTATTAGTTATCTATTGAGTATTTCCTGTGTCTCATGTGCTGGGCTATTTAGTTGAGTTTCACTTCACTGGTTGTATAGTGTTGCCCAAAGTTTACTTGATTTCTGCTCTCTTTCGATGCTCACCTACTGATTGAAGAAAGACTTCTAAAGAACGGCTTGCCCTCTGCAGTCTCGTTAGCATCCAAAACCTTAACACCATGTATTTTGGCAGAGTATTTCTTATCTGCCATTGTCCGTCCATTCTCTATAGTTTCTACTTTGCCCCTACCTTGCAACACACTTACTCATATGTTCTAAAGCCCATTGGCTTTCCCCTTGAGCAGAAATCTTAACCTTTTCATCATTATTAATTGAGTTAATATTTGAAATGCTTAAAATGGTGACTGGTACATATAAGTAATAAAAAGATAAAAAGACATGCCCACCGGTCTCAAACTCAGCATGCACTAAATTATTCTAATCCACCTCCAGAGTATATGCACTTAGCTCCTTATCTACCTAGTGGATCTCAGTGATCCCATAGGTGTCATGAGTATCTCAGGGTGCGCCCTGTGTCAGTTCAACAGTAAATGAGTGTTCCATACCCAAAGCCTGTAAATGACACTGATCCCAGTCAGTATCAGGGAAGCTTCTTGGGAATAAGTGCCCCTGGGTGGGTCCTCTGCTTAGGCATACTGCTGGATCTACAACACCCTTCCCAGTAGTGGAGTCCACAGTCAATCATTCTAGAACTTTCTGGGACACAGCTGGGCCTTTAGAAACAGGGTCAGGAGGATACTGAAGAGTTCTATCTATTCAGGAGCAGATGATCACATCCCTCCTTGACCTACAGCCTCCCTTTCTTTTCCTTATTCTCATTTCAGATCCTTCCACCACTGCCTTTGCCCTCTGAACTTGAGATTTTTCATTCCCTTCTCCAAATTTTAGTTTATCTCTTAAGGAGAGCTGCTCAGCTCATGGCAGTCAGGAGTCAGAGAAAGCAAAAGAGCGAGAGAGAGAGAGAGAGAGAGAGAGAGAGAGAGAGAGAGAGAGAGAGAAGGGGCCAGGGACAGACAGTCCCCAAGGCCATGCCCCCTCAATGATCCATTCTCCACAGCGACACCCTACCTGCTCAGTAGTTCATTCAACCAATGGATTAATCCACCAATAAGGTTGGAGCTCTACTCCCCAAATCCTACCTCTAAGCCTTGCTGCATTGGGGGTTTTGCCCTCAAAACATGAGCCTTTTGGAGAACCTTCTAGATCCACACCATAACAGAGGGACTAACTCATAGAAACCCAAGAGCCCTGTCCGTTCTTTCTAGGATCAGGAAGGGTTCAGTCCTAGGAACCCCAAAGACTGTATTCCTTCCTAACAACCATTATACCCCCTTCCTTTCCCTCACAGCCCGGCCCCACATTCACACGCATGGATGCAGCAGGTATAGACTGAGGATGTTTCCTGTCGGATTCTTGTAGAAACCATAAAGCAGTCTAGGGCTTCACTGGAACATATTGCTACATTTAAAACGATGCAGACACCTAACAGCTGTTTGCACAGATATGAGCTGGCTTCTTGAATTTGAAGACTGCTTTTTATGAAGAGATATGGGTGCAGTTATCTGTAAATTGGATGTTATATCTGTTCTTCTCTGACTTTGCTAATTATAGTCAGAAGGGGGAGAAAGGGAGATTTTGAAGGTCTGAAAGTCCTTTTTTATGTAGTCATGCTTAAATGTTGGATATAGTAACAATAATAAACATCATCACAGTTAATATCTATTAAGCACTTACTTAATGTCCGGTGCTGAACTAAGTATCTCATTTTCTCCTCATAAACTCCCACAAGTGAGATTATATTCCTATGTCAAGACATCTCCAAAGTTAAAGAAAATTGCTGTGCCTTGTGCCCCCTTTTTGCTAAAGAAGAGGTACAAAACTTGGTAGGTCTTTTTGGAGGCAACATATTCCTCACTTAAGTGTACTGCTCTCTTACCCATTTGATTCAGTTTTGAGTGAGTCCTGGGGCAAGGGAGAGCTCTGCAGTGTTCCAGATTGCCACGGAAGCTGCTTGCCACTTGAGATTTATGGTACAGCAGATATGGTGTCATCTGAAGTAAGTGTCACAATGATGCATGTTGAAAGAAGGAATGGAGCAGGATTAGAGCGCAGACTCCTAGAGTTTCAGAACAAACTATTCTATTTTCTGGAAATAAACATTCTTTTGAGAAATAGTACCTAGTTTGACACTATCTTACTAGAAATTTAATGCTTAACCGTGGATTATCAAGGGACCGCGCAACTTGTATGGCTTATCCTGAGTGAGGTGTTACCTAGCCACAAGGTTGTGCATGAAGAGTGGCAGTTCCTCAAAAGGAAATATATACGTATGTATGTATGTATGTATATAGGCTGCATAGCCTTCCTCTGTCAGTCCATACCTACAGCC